CCATTCTGGGCGACGGATCGGTTGTGGCCTGGGGTGTGGTTGCCTGTGGTGGCCACAGTACTGCTGATCAGCTACAGAGGATCTGTTTGATCTGCCGTGGCTGTCGCCACCACAGAGGCGAAAGCGGCTCAGAGGATCTGTGTTTGTGTGAAAAAGCTCCGCTTCCTGGCGGTGCATTACTAGCAGCGGCAGCAACAGGGCAACACAACTTGTAGAACAACTTGCAAGATGCGACATCCAAGCGCTGGAGTGGACTAGCAGCATGTCGTGTAGAGTCGCGAGTCCCAAGGCCCCAAGCCTGAAACCTAAATACTAAAACCCTACATGATCCTCATATGCTAATCCAAAGCAGGTTGACTTAAGATTCACGGCATAGGGGTTGTGTATCCCACAGGATCAGATGTAGGTTATGTAGGCATTGAGGTTACATCTGCCAGAGTTCCGGTGCCATCTGACGACAGCGCAATTGTCGTGCAGGCTCAGTCAGACATGGACACATGCACTTGTACACCACATTCAACCATGCCCCATGCCCTCTCAGACATAGGTCCCTCCTAACCGTTTTCAACAACATATCATGCCCTTCACGCCCCTCCTCGACATCAGCCTCAACACCCGATAGAGCTCTGGCTCTTATAGCCGCCTCATAACCCTGACATCTTTCATGGACACCTCTAAACTGTCCTCGACTTCCCCCCCCCCCCCCCCCCCGGTTCGGACCGCTGAGGTACAACTTGGGACTGCTCTTGGCCCTCTATGAGCATCGCACGGCCGTGCAGGGCTGGGTCCGGGACCTCAGGGGCCTTCTTTCCTTTCTTCTGAGACTCGAATGGGGTTTGGGTTTGGGGGTTGGGAACAACGGATAACAATACGGAGCCTTGGGGGGGGTATTTATATCATTATATGATAGCACTGGATATTAACAATAAGGAGGTTTGGGTGTCTTAGGGTCACGGGGCTTTAGGCCTATAGGGTCCAGGCACTTGAGATTAACGGGTCGGGGCTGCTGGGCTCGAAGCTTTACTGGCTGAAGCCCAAACCGGGGGCTTGGGAAAGACGTCAACAGCAGGTGTACGCAGCATGTCTGAGATTCTACGGACCGATGGTTAGCTGTTGGTTCCACTGATCTTTTCAGATGTACCGAACTATTCATGGAAGACTTCTGCTCCAGTCATTTTCGGTCCATCTTGAAGATGGTTCAAGGCGCTATAGGGTACCTTGGAGCACCGCGGAACCCCCACTCCTCTGCAGCAAGACGGTGGCCATGGTTTTGGCATGTCTTGGCCCCATCAGCACCAGCAGTTCGAGCGTGCCTGTTCCGCCGTTGCTGCCCTCCTGCGAGCTCTTCATCCAGCTGTCATAGTGAGATACAGTGAGGCTAGTTAATTTAGGGTTTAGGGTTTTGGGTTTAGGGTTTACGGTTAGTTCCTTACATGGCCTTTTAGAGCTACTGTGTCGCTGTGCACTTCAGCTACTGCCTGTTACGGGGTACCTTGTAATAAGCCATCATCTGGAAAAAGCAAGGCCTCTGTCCGGTAGCATCAAGCCGTGGCCGAAGCCCCGTACCCCAAACCTATCCAAACCTCCAACCTGGAAGCCTGAACCCTAAACCCAAGCCTCAAACAGACCTGCAACCCGTAACCACAGACCCGAAACGTCAATATGAAACCTGAAGCCCAGAACGTCGAAGCTTCCAAACCCGAAGCCATAAACCCTACACGTCAGTCAAAAACTGCCCTAAGTCCTGAACTAAAACCAACGGAAATCTCTAGACTTGATGATCATCCCATTAAATAAAGCACACCCTAAACTTGACAACTCCGACCCTAGACCCCGAACGCCCTCAGACCCCAATCCCCATAGAACACTGAACCCCCATTGGAAACCCTAAACCCCAAAACAACACAAAGCCTCAACTCGAAAACCTCAGCGCTAAACCCCAAAGCTGCAAATCCTAGACCCTCGAAACCCCTAAATCCCAGACCCCACCTATAGTCTCCATTGTAGTTCCTTTTGGGGATACCTTATAAACTCGTTAATATATATTTTGTGAAACCAAAAACAGGAACTACAGTGGAGACTATAGGTAAACCCATAAACCAGACCAAGGTCTGGAATATCAACTCCTTCGATCAGTGGGGTGTGGAGCTGGGCAAGGTTCTAGGAGTCAAGGTCCGGAAGTACCTCTCGGAAGCGCGGAAAGGCGGGGACTGTAGGGCTTCTTGGGGTTTAGGCATGGGGACGTAGGAGCTTTTGGGCGAAGGGGTTAGGGCCAAGAATGGGCTTCGGAATTTAGGTTTTCAAGATTGGGAAGTCTAGGCTTTGCGGTTGCTAGAGGAAGTGGTCGTCGTCGCGGCTCGTAGTCGTGGCTACCCCAGACCCTATTGTAAGTTATAACTCCTAAGCCCTGGGCACTGATTGAGTGGACACTTCCCTGAACCCTGAACCCTGAACCCTAAACCCTTATTGTAAGCTAGCCTGGCCGAATCATTGAGCTTTCGCGTGCGCGACAGATATGCCTTGCAAGACACGCGGCTCCTCGTACGATGGCTTTGTTTGCCTAAGATATCCCAAAATCAATATGTCTGTGTTCTTGTACAAGCATACATACACACATACATGATGCAGGGCTGCCACACCCCCCCTCCCCCCCATCCCATGGTATCCCCCTCTTCCCCCCCCTCTATGGGGTGGGGCCTGTGGCCGCATCCCGGCCCGCCCCTTGTTCGCAGTTGTGCCTGCTGCCGGTGATACTGCTCATGATGTTGTGCTGCTCTAGACGGCGACGCGAGTCGACAATCGGATCATCTTTGACATCAGGCTGAGCATCATCATTGTCGTCGTCATCTTCCACATCAGTACCGACAACAGAACAGCTGTCACCATCGCCATCGCCATACAACTGTCATTGTTAATCATTGTAATGCATGTCTGATGCGGGAACTACTGCGCAGATTGCCGCTTTCTGCACGGAGCAGGGGTTGAACGGTTGGGTACCATAGATAGGGGACCTGCACGACACCCCCAATCGGCACAGCAGCAGGCGACACCCCACCCCCACTGGCGGGGGTGGTGGGGTACCAGAGAGGGGGTGGGGTGAGATGTAACCTGGGCGTGCATCCCCTCGCTAAGGCGTACAGGAACACAGGCTCACAGGAGTTTCTTTTGTTACAGGCGCACAGCGGTAGATCGTACTCTGCTAGAACCTTGAGCAACAGGCATGGATACATGCAAATGATACGTGAAACAGACAAGCACCTGGATGTGTAACATTTGCAATTGGTGTTTCAACCAGGCACAAATTTAAAAGCACGTAGAGCTGCATGGCCGTGAAGTCGGCATTCTACATTGCCTGTATAGCACATGATGCATACGTACATACCTACATACATGCATACACATGTATAACTTCGCCTTGGAAGCCTGCGCGAGAGTTGTCGCGATAAGGTATGAACCTCGGCAGGCAGGATCATTGCAGCCCAACAGCCATCCAGAAAGGCTCTGTAGAAACCCTAAGACCTACACCATAGACTTTTGAGTCCTATAGATGCGCTCTTCGTGCCCCGGAGGTAGCGGAGATGCCTCAGGCTTCCAGAAGCCCACCGCGACTCTTGTCGCTGCCATAAGAGGGGCCTTGGAAATTCGAATAGGGTTTCAGGGTATACATGCTATTATAACAACTTGTTATTTAGGCCCCTGTATTACAATTTGTGGGCTTGGGGTTTGGGTGCACGCGGTTTGCACTGCTTCGAAGTGTTTCAGGATTCAGGGTCTGCGGTGGAAGCGCAGGGTTGTGGTTTGTGGTGTAGGGTTCAGGTTAGGGTGTAGGGTTTGGGCGCATGGGATTTGGGCAATCATGTGGGGGATGTTTGTTGATAAATGCCTTGGTAATCCAGTAATACATAGTATTACATGCAGGGTTTAGGGTTTAGGTTGTAAGGTTTTCAGCAGGGCCAGGACCTCAGATCTTGAAA